TATGCTCAAAAAGTTCCGGTCCCCTAGCTGCTTCAATTCTGAAGTTACAAAAGCGCATGGGTGAAATTTCCACGTGTCCGTACGCGAGATGCAGAAGGGCTGGAAAACTCAATTTACTTTCACGGGCACAACAGTTAGTGACAAGTAACGCTGCAAAATTGCAGCCCCCCACAGCCTCTCGGTCAGCTTAAATCTGAAGTTGGAATAATGCCAGCCTAGACTTTGACGTGTATGTACGTGAGACCTAGGGGTGCGTGAAAATTGAGTTTGAAATCTTTAGATTAGACACGGCTAGGAACATCCCTGTGAAGTTTCAGCCTCCTAGCTTGTGCTGCTCCCGAGAATGCTCTCCCGCCAAAAAAACTTTCACGTGCCCGCACGTGAGAGCCACACGGACCTGAGCTTTCACACTGAGGATAGGAGCCCTCACATAAGTATAGATTAAGCTAACCAAAGTTTCAGCCCTGTAGCTTTCATGAATCTCGAGATGAAAACTCGTTATAGATGCACGCACAGACATACAAACATACACACATACATACATACACTGACAATCCCTCAACAATGAGTTTTTGCACTGTGCAGATGCAAAAAACGCATAAAAATTGCTTTAGCTATTTTTAAATGTTGAAAGGCTTCTCCGAAAAAAAACAAGATTATTTCAGACTGAGCAAGAGATGATACAGCATTCGCAGCAACAACAATGGAAAGGCTGCCAACCGTGGCAACTTTGTTATCCAACAACAGTTGGTTAAATCCTCAAAGGAACTGAAATGTGGATGAAGGAAGTTTACCTTAGCAGAGATGAAAGCACCGTATTTTGCTTTTCATCCGGAGCCGAGCATGCGAAAAGGCCAGGCCATGTGCGCAACAGGTTCAGAAGTGTTTTCGAAATACACTGCAAAGCAGGCGTACCCAAAGGTTGCAGCTGTTGTTGTCTCCTGAAAAAGCAAGAGTGCCATGTGTGCAAAATTACGTTTGATGTCTAGTGATCTTATAGCAAAACGTAGCAAAATTACGACACTCAACGATAAGATAGCTACTTATGAACTTCAACCTACAGGCCAAAAATATGCACCAAAAAAGCCGGGCTAGTTCAAAATCCAGACTAGAACGCACCAGGCGAGCCCGTGCGATCATGCGTTTCTACACCAAACTTAAAGTAATTAGGTTAACTGCATGAACGGTTTCTTCTTCACACCTACCTTGTGCGTTCAATACCAAAAATCGTCGTAAATTTTGCATAAAAGAAAATAAAAAATTTCTGTTTAGC